CAACTAACCTGACCTGAATTGAGTCTCTTTTCCAGAAGAGAAGTATATAGCATCTCTTGAAAACTGGTTCTCTTGTCTCAAGATGTCCTATACTTATATTTCCATAGCAGAAAGAGCCAAAAGCTTCAGTAACTTCAGAAAATGTTGGTCATTATCTTTGCATAGTGAAGATAGCAACCTGAACTTTCAAAGAAACAAAAAAGTCATTCTTTAAAAAAAAAAAAAAAAAAAACCTAAAAAAAAAAAAAAACCTAAAAAAAAAATCCAAAACGTGTGAGATGCCAGCATATTTATTCCTAAACAAAACTTTTCTAGCACAACCCTGGGCTTCCCAACAAGCAGTTTTGTGAGTGAACTTCATAGTATGACATCAGTGAACAGATGGCAGGCAAAGCTGTTGGCAGGGTGATGAGAAAGCTGGCCATTTATAATGGAAAATGTCCTGATAAAAAGGAATGTGCTTATTTTATTCCATCTTAATGTTTATAAAATTCCTTTCCTGAGGCTTCCTCAAAGATCTTTTCATTATTATTGTATTATTATTAATAATAAAGCAAATAAGGGGAAAAATGTGCATAGCAAATGACATTTTAAGTGCCCCAGAAAGGTTTCCAGCACTGGTGGGGTTGATTACGCTGTGATTTGTTACAAGTTTTACAGTTATAATCCACAATTGTGTGGACACTTCTCCCAACAAGGTTAATTGTATGATAATACTCAGTAACTGGAAGGCCTTCACCTTTCAAGGGAGGACTATGGAGTGTGAAGACATGTACTGAGGCTGCCAAATTTCTGCACCTTGAGAACCTCTGAATGCTAATGTGCCTCCAATCTTTCAAAGGCTGACTTTCAGCTGGATGCAATTCAGGATGGATCCATTATGTAAGTGAGGAACATTATGTGAGGAGCAAAGCTGGGCTTTTGAGAAAAAAAGATACCACTGAGGAGTAGTTTATGCCTCAAAAAGTCAAATCCAGGTGTTTCAAGAACTATTTCCTAATTTAAGTAAAATTCACCCTTATATTTTCTGGAAAATATAGAGATGGGGCAGGACACAAAAGCAAGCAGGAAGAGGTTCCTCTAATGGATTACCACTGGAAATTCTGCACTAGCACAGGACTGGAGACGACACATAATGCCTTTTCCACCAGAGAGAGTTCAAACCATGGGATAAAAGCAGTATCCCATCAGGCCTGACCTGCCTCAGGGAGGTATATGCAACACAAGTCATTGCTGAATGAAGCAACAACAGCATTTCTCAGCTGGGTCCTAAGGAGGCACCTCCCTGAGTGAACAGAAGATGCTAACCACAGACATCAGGAGATATGAGAGAGCTCAAACTCCCCTGGGTCCAGGCATTCTTGCAGAATCACTGCATAGTAGTTGGAGGCAAACGCAGTCTCCTAGATGAGGGGTTTCTTAGTCTGGGGCATCCTGCTTCGTGTGGAACTCAACACACTGCACTGCCAAGTCACTGCATGGAGAAAGAAGGCATTTACTCCCACTCCTCCATCTTCCCCTTCGTCCCTTATTTCCAAGGACTCAAAATCAACCATGCCTTGCTGAGCTGATAACTTGTTACAAAATCACTTCACTATGATAAGGCAGGAGGAAGACCTGCACTTTGGATTAGTCCCAGTACAATCACTTCACACAGAGCCCCACTGAAGAGAGAAAAAAAAGTGACAAGACTATAGATACTTTAAAAGCAAATAAAGTAGAAGAGCAATTAATAATAATTGAAAGATTATTATCAGATAGTCCTCATCACTCTGCTAGTTATAAAAGCAGCTGATTTCAGTTTTGCCATTGTAGAGACAGCAGAACTGAAGTCTAGGGAGGTCAAGCCATTCACCTGTGGCTGGCTATCCAGACAGCTATGGAACTACAGAGAAATCCTAGCTGTTCAGTCTCTACCTGATGCGTTTTCTCCACCACAATGAAAATCTGACAAAATAGAATCTGTCTCAGAAAGTAGGAATCAAAATATTTCTATCTTTCACAACAACAACACCAAATAAGAACTAGGTAGCCAGACTGTCTTTCCAATTGTTTTTAGCAATAAAAGGATGGAGAAAGCAGCTGGGGTCCCATGGTATCCACTCACAACTAACAGGCAGTGACCTCTTGCCATGTTACAGCAACATAACTAAACAAACAATTTGCTCTTCCCTTAGGACAAATTCCTTGGTAAGGACAATCTATTTTCAACATTTCCATATCTGGATGCCATTACATCCACCTATGCCTACATTAAGCCACCATAAGCATATCTAAAGCCTCTATCTGATCCTGAACACTATGCCAGAGACCATCAGTGCTGGAGAGAATGTTTTCTCATACAGTCACAGACTAAAACTTCATAGGCACGGAAGACTGGGTCAACCTCAACTAGATGCTGAATTCAGAAGAAACTCCAGGGCCATGCTTGAAATCCAACATCTTTTGCATTTCTTCCCACTTCCCCCTTCTCTTTGTTCTGATGTCCTAAATTTACTCAATATATTAAGAAAATTCTTATCTTTTAGGCAAAATCTCAGCTTGGAAAGGCTACAGGAGTTATAAACTACACATCATCAAATTGCCTTAAGCTCTCCAGCTCACTGTGGTTTGATAGCCTGCCTAGTGGATCATTCCTAGCCCTTAAATTAATCTGCAAAATACACTTTTTTTTTTCTTTTTTTTTAAAGTTTCTTTCCATCTGCAGCATATTCTGCTCCATCTTCCCTGTGCAGTTTTCTTGCCCTGGAACAACAACTGTAACAAAAAACAACAAAAACTAACAGCAACAACAGTGTGTTTAATTTCAGGCTCCACTGTGGTCACTTCCCTGCTGAACATAGTAGGGAGACATGGAGGCACTGGGTTCTATCTCTCTCCCGCCGAGGATCCAATATCCTGTCCTCAGCTCATACATTTCAGATCTGCAAACATTTCTGCCAAGAAAGCTTCATTTTACGGGAGGGGAATGAGAAAAAATAAGAAAGGAAGAAGATGAGAAAGGAAGATTTTTAAAGGGCAGCCAAGATAATTCCTTCTGGATGTTTTGATCTTTTTAAAATAACTTTTTTTTTTTTTTTTTAAACTATATTCTGGTGGCCCTCTGCAGGAGATTGCCTACTGCAACAAAATCCCATCACCATGGGAAGGAATAAGGTGCAAGATAATATTATTCTTTTTTAACTCTAAGGACAAAAGAATTGTTGGATGAGAAAATGCCACTAGGAACAAGATTAATCCTCTTTCAGGTTTGCTGCAATGTTATTGTTCCCTCTCAGATACAGACAAATGTATAGGTCATGATTTCACATATCAAAAACTGGTTCTGGTGAAACAAATCACAGATGGATCCAGAACCAAACACAAAGCCATTTTCCAAGCAGTTTCCAGATGCTTTTATTCCCTACTGCTAGGTGTCATACCTTCAGTTCAGGGTGCGGCAGGCACTTTGCCTCTTTCTTCTACTTGCTCAGATCCACTTCCAAAGAGCCCGTGCTCGTGTCTAAAAACACCTCGTGCATTGCCTAGATCCAGGTAGTGGTTCTTCAGCAGCACAGTTCTCCTGTCTCCTTTTTGTTGGTATGGGTGTGAAGCCTTAGTGCTCAATCAATAAAGTCTACACCTTTACCATGGAAGACCAGCCAAGGCCACAGCTGTCATTTAGCTCAGAGCATTCCTGGGCCCTCCTAAATTATGTCAGTGTTAGGGTGCTACCCTGGTATGCAAAAAGGTACCTTGGAGATGCATCATCCTGAGATCCTGGCGTAGTCATAGAGTCTCTTTTAAACTAGGGCTTTCTTGCAATAGGCCCAGGCTTACACTAGTGCTCATAAAAGCAGAATTAAGCTATTTTATTCCTGTCTGATTTCTGCATTTGCTTCAAGTTCAAGCTACCCACATTGTGCCCTACTAGAACTTCAGATTCTTAGCACAGTTTTCTGTACAGCTGTGTTATAGTCTCCACTTTGGTAGGACTGTTCTCTAGAGGACGATTTCTGTCTGAATTGGTTTGTTACCAATCTCCTAGTTCTGTTTTGTATGTGGGTTTTTTTGTTTTGTTTTCCAAAGCATGCTATCTCAATCTACGAAATTCATTCTGGGTTTTGCAAAACTCAATAAATTCTGGAAGAGTGATAAGCCTTTATAACACTATGACGTGACGGAAAGAACAACAGTGGCAGTGTAGTAGCAAAGCCCCAGACTGCAGCAAGTGAGGATATGCTCAAACATGACAGCTGTGGACACAAATACAAAGGAAAGAAGCAGCTCACCTTTGGAAGGCTTCAGGTAGGCAAGGATCCCAAGAAAGACCCCCTCACCTCCACTGCTTACCCTTAAAGTCTGGGAAGGGATAGACCCTGGCTCCACCCCTTCTGGTCTCTCAATGAACTGCATGCACCTGAGCTGCCCTGGGTTGGCCCTGTCTTCCCACCAAGGTGCTCAGTCATTGCTTCAAGCTGTGACTTAGCATTTCCACTATAGCCTTATATCCACATTCCCACCTGAAGTGATTATACTGAGCTTTAAGGTTGGATTTGACCTCTATTGCAGTGACAACCTACAGGAGAGTTGGAATAAAATATCACTTGTGAAACTCAATGATTTTTTAACATTGCTGAACAAAGCTCTCTTTACTAAAGCCAGAATTCTGCAGCAGTCTCCATATCCACAAGCTCTCATCACTGGTTACCTAATGAGTTATATTTCAAAGATCCCTATTGTTACATAGTATTGGAGCACATTGACTGAATATCTTTATCACTTCAAGGTTGCTTTTTTTGTAGACATCAGATTTAAGACTGTTCATTCAGAAAATTAACCTAATCTTGAGTCCCTTTTTTTTTTTTTTTTTTTAAATCAAAACAGGAGCTCAAGAGCTTCTGATCTGAACAGCAAATCATGAAATTAACAAGAAGCAGAGCTGTGATTTGATCACGTTACTGTGACAGCTGAGCCAGTAACCAGAAATGCAGAAATTCGTATAAAGTGATGCCGCTCACCTACGAAATTCAACTGCTCTGCTGTTGACGTTTCATGCAGCTTTGATCTGAAAAGAACTGAAATGCATTCTGTCACTTGAATGTACTTTACAGTCTTATTTTCATTTCAGTGGCGTTGATATCTATACGTGTAATATTCTCCATGCATGTTTCTTGTCAATAATGTTAAGAAAAAAATCTACTTATGGATTTCCCCTGCTAAAAAACATAGCCCAAAGATTGAGTTGCTTGGTTAGGATGATAATACAAGCAGCTCCACAAATGCCGTTTTGCAAACAAAAACAAGATCTGTCGCATCTCACTTTGTCCAATTTTTCTTCAGCTTCTACTAGACCTGCAGTAAGGTGATTCACTAAACTTGCATTTAGGCCTTGCATGACTCAGCCAGGTGTTCTTCATAAGCCTGCATCAAAGAAACACTGAAAAAGAGAGAAATCTCTACTTCTCCAGTGAATACTTTCTTGCCCTCTTCTACCAAATCAGCACTGGTAGAAAGGTGAAGGAGAGGGCAATACTTCACTATGCTCCTCTTTACTGAGTGTGCCTAAGTCCTCATTAAGGGGTAAACATAGCTCAATCCAGTTCTAAAATACTTGTGTAGCTGAAATGAATTCAAGATAGGATTCAGTACTAACACAGCAATTTTCTAGCAGAGTCAGTCCAGGCGCTATTTTACACAGTCCATGACTTCTTAGTAGGCTTCAGAAAGTCAGGACCAAAAAGGCAACTCCACCAGTGAATTGTGGGGCTCAGCTGGAAGTGGAATGCTGTAAAGTCCTGAAGCTTATGAACAGAACCCCCAGCAGCATTCTTCATCCTAGTTGGATGCTCTAGATACTGGTTCTCTATCCTACTGCTCCCCTTCCTGCTTCTGGGTTCTGTCTTTATAGACAGCTTCGAGTAATGCAGCCTTTATTTCCTAGGGGGATCCTTCTTTCCATATTTGACTCCATAACTGCATTCTCCTCAGCTCTATACCAGCCTGTCAGTCAAGTGCAGTAGAACCTTTATTGGAACCCAGTGAATTTGAGACCACTGTCACCTCCAAGCAATGTTTTTCAGCCCCAAATGTCCCTTTCAAGCCTATCAATATAAGAAAGCAGAAACTGATAACCTAAGACTTCCACAAGAATGGCTTGCACAAACACAGCAAGACTAAGAGCAGAACTCCAATAATTTCCTATTATCAGTTCTTAAGATAAAGGTTGGCCAAAATCCAGTTTTTTCCCCTTTAAATGAATTGGAATAAAATTGAGTAGACTGTTCCATTGTTCTTGCTAATACTTCAAGTGTTCCTCCATCCCTCAAACAGCTTTGATGTCATCTAGCTCCACTTAAAGGGGAAAGAATGTGTGATTGGGAATAATTAACAAGCTAAAAATGACTTTGTCAGAACATTTGTGTTATTGAATTACTTGCAGCTACTAGCTTTAGTGAGCTGAGACAGTGTTTAGGCACTATTAGAGCCCTTTAAAGGGAAAAAAAAAAGGAATAGAGATTTGATGAAGTACACAAAGTTGGACTTAAGAGGTTCAAGTTAATCTCCTGATTCTGCCTCAAAATTCTCATGTGACATCTGGCACATCACTTAGTCCACTTGCACTTCAGCCTCTCCCACACGATCCTCAGCTCCAATCCCCCTCCCATCCCCACGACTCGTCTCATTACAGCATAAGCAAATATTAACATTACAAGAGAGCTATCTCTTATCCTGCATTCCTACCTCACTCAGCATAAAGAGTCCTGGATTTTGTCAGTGCCTGTGGGAATTACTTTAATACAGATAATATTCAAAGTCAGAAGTCTTTCTTCCCCTCTCTCTTATGTAGAGCACTGTTATTTTGAGGAGATGCAATAATAAAACTGCCAGTCTTTATAACAAGGACTGTAAGCAATCAATGCAGAAAAAAAGTCAACCAACATATGTCTCTTTCTTCTGCCACTACAAAGCAAAAATAAAGACATTTCTGTTGTTTCTCCACAACTGATTTAGTAACTCAGATAGCTTAGTCTTCTGTTTCATCAAGAAAACCAGCACACATTATTTGGAAGAACTACCCTTTCGTCCAGGGTAACAGAAAAGCTGAAGTTCAGGCCTTAATAAATTGCATTTCATGCCTAGATTTCTAAGCATTTGAGCCATCTAGCCCTTGTCACTAAGATAGCTGTTCTACCAGTTGTGCTGTGATTTAGCCCAGGGCTCTTGCAGATTTAACCTTTTCAAAGCACAACAAAGAAAGATTAGCTTAGACACCCCATTTACCCTCAATCTACTTTAGATCTAAACTCCAGAAAAATAGCCTGGCTATTCTATATCTAAGCAGTTTTATAAGAGAAGGACCATATATACAGTTAGACATGTGCCATGCAATGCTGGACTCCATAGCAAAGAAAAAGTTCCTGAGGGTTAAAAAAAATAACTGAAACACAACTCTTTATCTAGTACCACAAAGTTTCTGGAGCCCCCCCCCCCCCTTTTTTTTTTTTTTCCTTCCCAAACCTACTCTTCCTATGAAAGGTCCCTTCCCCCTGCCTCATTGCTATTAAATCAAAGCTGGGCCTGGCAACATCTGTAGATCATTAATGTTATCTTCAGTGTCTGCAGCTTATTGCTGTTATATTAACCCTCAGCACAGACCAGCTTGGAGCTTACAGGACGCCTTACTAAAGAAAGAGCTTGGTAGTAGGAGGGGGAGGAATTTAAAGAGGAAAAGAAAGTGCTTAACTTGGAGGAGAAGTTTTAAAAAACAGTTTCTCCTGCTATTTCTGCAATAGCAGAGCTATTGCTACTGGTCTGCTGTAACAAAATGAGACCTCTCTTTAAGAGAATGGAGGAAAATCAGCATGTGTCATAGTGATACCACTTTCTTTGTAGGCAAGCTTTGTTACTAGCTATAGCCACTCAGTGTCTATGCTGCACGAATCTGAAGGGAGGCAGAAAAGGAACAAGTTATCAGTAAGAGGCTGCTAATTTACTACTGAGAATACTGCTTCAGGCTAGCTCTTATTTCTTTTCTAACAAATTTTATCTAAAAAAAAAAAAAAAAAACTTTTTAGAATTTGTCTACCTCTTGCTGCTTTAGTGTCCACGTTTTGAATCAAAGGATGAAGGGCAAAGCACCCAAAGTGAAGGAGTTACAAAGTTTTAAACCCATATGAGGTGCTACTAAAGGAACCTCTCCTTGCAGCAAGTGGGAAGGTTCGGTTGCCTGTAACAACGAATGTAGCCCAGCTTGGTATGCATGAAAGCTATTTGCCTGCCCCGAGTGCTCCAAAGGAAATAACTGGAAAAGGAAATAACTTTTTCTTTTTTTTCTTTTTTGGAACAGAGAGGCACCCAAAGTAAGGCTCAATGACTCAGCACCCCTTTCTTTAATTTCTAATCTGACCTTGGAAAGAACTGCAAGCTCTGTATACAGTTCACGCTGCTAAATGAGCTTCCTCTAAGGGTATTAAATCCTGTGGGGAAAACACTTGTACTACAGTCACCTGTGTTGTATTTATTCTGCTGGGAAAAAAAAAAAAAAAAAAAAAAAAAAAAAAAGAGGAATGTAGTGCCTTCCTAAGAAGCTGACCCACTACCTGCGACCCTGTGGTCCTTTCAGAAGCTATGGTTAAATGCTCTGCCTTTAACCACATCCTCTGTGTGATGTGTGTGCAGTCTGTACAGCTTTTTGTTTCTTTCCATCCTGATTGTGGAAAGAATAAAAGGTGAGAGGGGAAGCTGTTGGGAAGTGCAGCTAAGGGAGAGAAAACACAATGGATCAGCCGACCACCCAGTTGCCACCAACTCAGAGGGCGTCTAAATGTTAAGCATGGGATGCTGTCACTGCATAGGCTAGAAAAGCTTTGGAAATTCAGTCGAGTACACAGGGAGAAAACAATCCAGATGGTGCTTGATGGGATCTGAAAATTTTGAAGGCCAGACCTGGTAGCAGGATAAATAAACGTGGACTTCTAAAAAAGCCTCTAACAAGTGCTAATGTCCCAGTTTGAATCCGTCATGCTAGCTGAGGATGTTTGCTATGCACCCCCTGACCAGCATGTGTGCACCCCTCCCACTGCTGTGTATGGTTGTTCTCTCTTTACTTCAGTTTAGATTTCTTCTTTGAACTTTAGTTCTCATTATTTTTGGACTTGTCACTTTGTTTAGAAAGATTTATTTCCACTGTTCCTTCTCTGTTCTTTCCTTGCCTCTTCTCTTCTGGATGCTTTTTGGCACGGCCCATTGCTATTTTTTTTTTTATGACTTTGTGTGCTATTTCAAAACAGTAAAATGTTTTTTAAGCAAGATGATCCTGTGTTGCTATGCTCATGCAGTAGCTCCTTACCTCTCCTCCTTTCTAAAGAGTTCGTGCTGTACTTCTGGTTTTCACTGTTCATTAAGAAAACAAGTGACTCAGAATGGGAGACCTCACAAAATAAAAAATTAAAAATCCATTCTTCTGTGTGGATAGCTTGATTTTCTTAAGGTTGACTTACCAACACGAGTGCAAGCCAGGTGTCTCTCTGATCACAACCGCTTTCCAATACAAGTAAAATTGTATTTCTGTCAAGCAATGTTGAAACTGGCTGAAATTGGCAGGGGAAGAGAAACAGATGGATAATGTGACCACTGAACTGACACTTCCTTTGGATGTAAGGGTTAAGATAAAAAAATGTTTGTCCCTGCATATTTCAGATCACGTTGTACCAAGTCCTAATGACTTCCAAGTTGGAGGCTTGATCTAAATCTAAATTTAGTAGCTCAAAAATCATGTCAGTTTATAAATGTATGCACAAATAGATTTGATTGGCTGAAATAGTTTTCCTTTAATGTTCTGGGGTGAGGCTCCCCTACGTAAGGTCTGCAGGGGCAGAGTTGGCAGAGGTGAACTACACTGATTTAAATTTAAAAGCCTCTACAATCAGTTTTTTGAAAGCTTTTCACTTTATTCAATACAGTAAATGATAGCTGTGGATTTTGGATATCCAGAGCATTTGGATACTGGGTAAATTGATCAGCATAGCTTGAGTGTTAGTTCTATACTGAGTAAGGCACAGAGCCCA